TTTTTATTAAGACATGATAGATAATAAGCATTTATTATGTATCATGTCTTAACTACCATCTTTTTCAAGAGCTACTAAGCATTTATTATCTATCATGTCTTTAGTTTCCATTTATTTGATCTTGTAGATTAGGACATTTGCAATGTGTTAAAATGTGTTGCCAATAGCAAATCTGCTTTGCTTTTGATTTAAAATGCAAAACATGAGTTTTCTTGATTGATTTTCTTGAATACATACATTTATCTGTCTAATTGGGCGTATATTAATCCAAAATAGAATGGAAGCTTTGATAAACATAATGATAAAAAGAAATACTGCTTTTCCCAAAGTTCCACAAAATCTTTTTTTCTTGACACATCGTGAAATCTTTTGCCCACTACAAGCATCGCCTGAAATATAAACTAAAAGTTTATATTTCAGGAAAACAGAATAGGATTACAACAGACTAATGTTAAAGAATACCATATTGTTTAATTGGACCCACAAGAAATTTCATAGGTTTTTACAGCACAATTTAGCAAGCACTGTTGTTTGTTTTCCTTATCAGAGAATTACTGATCCTGGTTTTAGACATCAGTTGTATAATTCAGAAGCTGAACACCACATCTGCTGGCCACTGTATTATTGCTACTTGGTGGAGCATTTTATACCAAACTCCTGTTTTTCAGCTGGCAAACTACCCAGGGTCTAGACTGCAAATTCAGTTATGGTGTGATAGCAACAGCCTGCAGTACTCTCCTTACACTTAACTACCACCTAAGGTTGTTTCCTATCTGCACTGTGGTTTATTCTTTTTATAAACAAAAAAAAATTAAAGGTGTATCATACACGACACGGTGAGTAACATATTCTTTCCACTCTACAAAAATATACAAATAAAATTAATTTGCTATTTCAAAAAGTATCTTTGGCTCATTCAGACATCGACAATTAAAATATTCCCTGAAACCTGAGTTAAAATAAGAGCAGACTCAGTTAGAAAGAGGCCATAACATTAGCTCTGTAAAGTTACAGAGATAAATCGTTTAGTTTCAAGCTGTCAAATAGACAGACCTCTGTCTTGGGGACCAAAGGAACATCTCTGTGAGCTATCATTATAGCCTTTCTAAAAGCTCCCACTGAAGACAGTAACATTGTGCCAGTAACTGAACGTTTGATCTAAGTAAGAAACCAAAAAACTGAAAGATGAAGATTTTTTTTCAGCTGAAAAGTAACTATCAAATATTTGTTTTCCATAACAAAACAGTAACCCAGAAAAGTTTTGAGTCACCTGAAATGTTTCATTGCACTGAAAACAAACCTACATACCATTCTGGTCTTAACAAGTAGTTAAGCTTAGTTTCAAACTGTTCTACTGAAAAAAGTTAAAACAATTTTTTCAAGTAAAAGAATATTTGAAAAAAACTGTTCAGATTTTCTTTTTTTTCCCAATAAATGGTCCTCCTGGTCTTTTTTAAAAAGTCCTTCATTCAAGAGAAACAGTAAAAAACCAGGCAATATCCGTCTTTGTTTGCTTAAAGCCCAAGGCAAAATGCTCCCATTGGTCACTGCTGGCATGAAACCAGAAATGACAATAATTGCTAGCAGTTTTGCTTGTGTACAGATTGCTTTCTTAAAGACTCACTGCAGAGCTATCAGCGTGAAAAGAGTTTCATGTGTAATAAGCTATTTTTAGTTCAAAGGGAAACACATTTAGGGAAGACAATCCCTGACTGTCTTCTCTCTCTCTCTCTCTC